TAACAGGCATTTTCAAGATGGACATTACTTCTAGAAACATTTGGTACTCTTTGGTTAATATATTGTTGTTATATTTCCTCTGTATCCCCTAAAAATATGTATAGTGAGATGATGACAATATGCTACATTATTTACTAGTGAAAAAACAACAACAGATGAGTAATACATAGACTTGTGCAGACATGATGACATACCTGCATTATATACTTAGGGCCCTTCCACACAGCCTTATAACCCAGAAGATCAAGGCAGAAAATCCCACAATACCTGCTTTGAACTGGTTTATCTGAGTCCACGCTGCCATATATTCCAGTTCAAAGCAGATAATGTGCGATTTTATTCAGCTGTGTGGAAGAGGCCCTAGATTTTGTTTAAGTTGTGTATGTTAGGTAAGTAAAAATGACTTGAATGCATGCCATAAATAAAAAAGAACAAACAAAAACTATATTTAATTCTCCGAAGTTAGGGTATGAATAATAAATGAACTAGTTTGCTTCCATGTTGCAATGTCCATTTCAGACAGAGTTGATCTTCAGATCGGTCTTTCAGGTGGGCTGTCATCACACTAGAGAAAAAATCCACTTAAAATCCAGTTTCTGCCTCCTGCAGAATTCTGGGGTTTGTAGTTTAGTGAGGCTGTTAAAGATTCCTCCCTAAATTACAAATCCCAGAATTCTGCAGGAGGCAGAAACCAGATTTCAAGTGGATTTTTTCTTTAGTGTCTTCATGAAGCATTAATTAAACCATTTCAGACAAATTTGTCAGATTTGATTTCCAAAACTATGGACACTCGGAAAGTCTAAACATGGTGGGAAAAAGAAAGGCTATTTGACCACTTTTCATTACCATAATTGGCATTCTGAGTTCCCTTCCACACAACTGTAAAATCCACATTAAACTGGATTATATTGCAGTGTGGACTCAGATAATCCAGTTCAAAGCAGATAATGTGGATTGTCTGCCTTGCTATTCTGGATTATATGGCTGTGTGGAAGGCCCCTGAGAGTCACTGTAACTGAGCCTTATGGTTTTTTCCAAATGCCATTGAGTAGTTATAAGTGTACAGTGTGGGCACAGCCTGAGATGACAGCCTCTCCAGAAAATGGAGAGGTGGGAGGAAACGTCATTTTTACATCAAGTTACACCATTTTAGTTCCCCAATAAATTCAGCTTACCCTGAAGCTAGCAATTCCTTGATCTCTTTGTCAAGGCAATAAATAACAGTGCACACTTACATGGGAATGAGCCTGGCCTTCTTTTTTTTTAAGATCACAGATTAGCTATTAGGGTAAGAAGTGCAATTATGGGGGCAGCAGTTCCCTAAAAAAGGCAACCCAGCAAACACTTGGATTATCCGTTCTTCTTGCATAGTTGAAGTTTGATTAATCCTTCCCTCGCCCGCCGTGAGAAACTGGCAACCCGTTCTGGCATCTTTGTCATTATCTCTTTGACAGCTTGCCTTTCTTGTGCTTCATAGTTCTAGGTCAGTTCACATGGTTAGTCAAACGTGACAACTTGACAAGATTACAGCAAGCTTGGGTTTCTGCAATTTGTAAATGGAGGGGCTTGCATTCCACTCCTTGGTTGATAACAAAGCTGGGCAAGGGAAAAATAATGAATTGTCTCTGTTTGTGCCACCTGCTCGAGAATGAATGGGAGCCTCTGTGTGGGGAAAACACAGCAGATCTTCTGCTTAATCCTAGGATTACGCCGTTTTCCAGGTGTAAGGCGAGAGAAAGAACATTTACCCAGAGACAAAATGATGAATGTTGCTTTGGTTTGTGTTTATGCTCTAACTGCAACCAGCTAAACTCGCAACTCCCCAAGGAAAATGTTTCCAACCCCACCCTGGTAACTTATTTGAAAGTTTGATAGACCTCCATGTTTTGTCACCTGCCCAGGAATGAAGGATACTCAAATAAAAATATAAATTATAGCTTATTATCAGAAATCCTGATTGGCATCCTGGGTTACGACAGAGCGAAGTCCAACTAACTATAAACCATTACAACTCACCTTTGGGGCTGTTGCAGAGGACAGATTTCTTGCCAACCATACAATGTTAAAAATTGCCACTTTGCACTGTTGTTACCTCCTCCCATTTCCAATATGGGCAGAACATTAAAAGGAAGTGACAGATATTCAGCTAACTATTTTCCCTTTACTGGGGGCACAGCAACAGCTTTTCTGCCAGGGACTTCCCAAGGAGATCCTGGAGTTCCTGAGGATGACTCTCAGAGCTGGGGATGGAGACTTGGAAAGATTGGTGAATACAGTGTTCCCTTGCTACTTCGCGGTTCTCTTTTCGCAGACTCGCTGTTTTGTAGTTTTTTTCCCTCCTGGCAATGATGGAGTGTGGAAGGAGGTTTCACCCTTTCCCTTCGAAGAGAGGCAGCCAATCATAAAAAGAGAGAGAGGACATACAAAGCAATATGTAAATCACGGCCTTATAGCCCCCTCCTTATATATAGTGTTACTACTTTGCAGATTTTCATTTTTCGTGGGTGGTCCTGGAACGTAGCTCCCACGATAAGTGAGGGGACACTGTAGTTCGATGGCTGCAAAATGTCCCAGAGCCCATAATCTAGAAGAGCCCAAGTGTCTAGCCATTTCAGTCAAGGACCAGTTTCAGGCTTGTTCGCGTAACGGTTGTGTTTGAGGAGCAATAGTTGAATTTGGCAGGGAAAAACTCAATAGTGAAGCTGTGTACTGTAAAATAATGTCTCTGTAGTTGTCTCCTTTCCACCTTTCTCCTTCGCTTTCTTCCTCATAACAGCAGTGAAATCCATGTTTGTGCAGATGTCTTTTTAGCTGGCAAAGTGAATCCATACACATAGCAACCATTCAGAAGCTTGTTGAAGGGAAAACATGATGTGAAAAGAAATCCAATAGCCAGCATAGTGATGCAAGGATTGTCCTGGTTTACTGGCTCCCAGGCTAACAATGTAGCCTGTTCTCTCATCCCTTTGAGAGCGGCGTCTGTATCCACGGGGCTAACCTTTTGCGCTTCTCAATTTTCATGTCGTGTAAAGGCGTGTTTTAAAAAATTAGCATTTAAAAAGAAGGGAGCCTGCATGCTTTTCAGTTTAAGCTGACACTGTTCCTTTTCCTCTGTGGAAATGAAATTTATTAATCATAATAAAACCATCATATTCTGAAGGTAGAGGTCACCCTGAGGAGAGAGAAAAGTCTATTCATCATCTGGAAAAAAAATTGATGCATATTCTCGGATAATATCAACGTGTTGGTCCTTTGGAAATGTCTTCCTCCATATTCTAACGTCTCTGTTTCTCAATGAACCTGACCTTCTGCGGCACAAAGCAGAGAATGGTCTCTGCGAAAGCAAAAGCCAATTGAGCCATGAATTCCTACCAGTTCTAGGGTGATGAATGCACAAAAAGAAACCCAATTGACATCATTTATTGAATTCAACTGAGTGGAGGAGTTCAGCTCCTGTCAAAATTGGGTGTAAAGCAAAATTAGAACAGGATTGTGGAGTTTGGGGCAATATATCTCATTTGGGTAGGGATGGGAAATGTAAATGGTTCATCTGTCTCCTGTCATCAGTTTGTTAAAGGTCTCTCCATACTGAATGTGAAGAAATAGATTATGGTAACCACCACCACCACCACCAAAAGTTCTCCCTCATTTGCACTGGCCAAATTAAAGTAGTTGATGTTGCTATATGCCTTCAAGTTAACTTCGACTTACAACCATGCTATCACAGAGCTTTCCTGACTTGATTTCTTCAGAAAACAAGTGCCATTGCCTTTTTCTGAAAATGAGAGAATATGCCTTGTCCAGAATCATCCAATAGGTTTCTGTGGTTGGCCTAGTTTCACAAAGTCTTAGGTTTTTTACACTGGTGTCTAATCCCAATGTTTGAATCTGGATGTCCAGATGACATCTAGGGACTTCCAGTCTATAACATGGGGTAAAGCCAGTTCAACTAGTTTTACATGGTATTATGAGAAATCAGGGAAACCTCCAGAGTTTTGGTGAAGTGTGGACTGCTGTAATCTGAAGCAGACCATTATTCACATGGCCCAGCATTGCCATTTTCTGCACTTCTCAATACAGAGAAAAGGGGATGGATTGGATCCACATCATTTGTCTCACTGCAGCAGATGGCCATGGAGCTCCAGAGAGCTTCATGGTAGTTTATCCATGGCAAGAGGGGACCACTAAGATAAGGTAGTATCGAACTAGACTTCTTCCTATTGCTGGAGTCAAGAAGATGGGCAGTGTAGCCACCTCTAAGATTAGTCTAGAGTATTGTACTCCGTTTTGGCCCCCAATTAAGTGACTTGTGTTGATGAGCCCTGAGAGAGTGTGGCTTGCTTGGTGGGTTTTCAAGGCTGAGCAGGAATTCTGTTTGGGTCTCCTGCATCTACATCATAGAATGAATGCCATCTGACACCACTTTTAACTGTCATGGCTCAATGCTATAGAATCATGGGAACTGTAGGTTTTCTTTGTTTCCATTCTGTCAACAATCAGAGCATAGGAAAGTGATGTTGCCATCACATTTAAGAAGCTCAAACATATTTAACTAACCATCTGATAGAGCATAGTGAACCATTATTTTTTATATAATGAGCTTGGGATCACCTATCAAAATCTACCAGGGACCACTGGTTGCCTCCCATTGCCCTTTGGGCAAGGAGTCGGAGAACATGATGAATTCCTGGGCTCAGCCACCATGCATATTGGTTGGCTGGTGCAGCTCTCCCTGAGCTAATTATACATTTGTGTTCCCCTCATCATTTCCCTTCGCCGACGGAACATATTCTCCCAGGGGATATTACTTCCATAAAGCGCTGAGTCAGTTCATTTCCAGTATAATTGGATAGGGTGGAATGTTTGATTGCATTCATTTCGCAATTCCTTTCTGTTTTTAACCTCTGGTGGTCTCCCTGCCATCCCCCACCCCCCTGCATCACCCATATAAAATATGTTTGTGCTTTCTTTATTAATCCTCCACTCTGCTTTCTTTGTAGTTACGGACGACTTTATGCTGCCGACCCCTACCACCACACACTTGCTCCAGCAGCCACCTACGGCGTTGGTGCCATGGTAAGTGTCCCATCTTTTCTCCCACAATGTCTCCCCCGCTGTACTCCCCCCTTCTTTTCTTCCTCTGCTTCTTAGCATGGTTGACATCTTCTCACTTTCCCTTAATTGAATTTGTCTCTTATGCTAACGGCAGCTAAAATGCCACATTAATCCTTCCCGGTAAACTTGATAAATGTCTTAATTTCTTAGCAAATGTAGTGTGTGAAACTATATATATATATATATATATATATATATATATATATATATAGTCTTAATTCTATGAATATCACCTAGCTGAGCACTTACCTTAATGGAATAATTAGTCATTTTTGATAATTAAATTTATCACCAATGGAATGCATTCACAGTGGCATCCATTCTTCTTTTCTCCCCATGCTTTGAATTTACATAGCCCCAAGGTTCAAGCCACACCACTGCTTCTCATTCAGAGCTGAAATCAAGATTGCTGGGCCTCTGCCATTAGCCAGCCTAAATCTCATCTATTTTTTCTCCCTTATTATAGTTAACACTTGAAATTATTATCATACGGGAGGGACAAAGAGGGAAGGCAGAACTGGTTCATTGGGAAAACAAGTGTCTCCATTTCTAGTCTATAGAACTACTAGTTGATATGGAAATGAAATTGACGCATCAAAACCTAACAAGGAGATTAATGGATTTATTGTGCTATGGGGAAATCATCCTCCAAGAGATGTGCATGGGACCACATTTTTTTTTCTTGCAGTCAAGATGAGCGCAACCAAGCAAACTTTACTCTCAAAGAACTACAACAAACTATAAATCCCTTTCACAATTAATTATATAAGGCTTTGTCCTTCTAGATCTCTTCTCAGCTTGAAGACTGCCAGCATTTGTCTCCCATTCTTCTAGAGCAGTGGTTCTCAACCTATGGGTCCCCAGGTGTTTTGGCCAACAACTCCCAGAAATCCAAGCCTGTTACGATTTCTAGGAGTTGAAGGCCAAAACATCTGGGGACCCACAGGTTGAGAACCACTGTTTTAAAGAATGTAGTCTACTCTACATGAGGCATAAGTCCCATTTCTTTGAGATGCATAGTCCCATTTATTGGAGGCAGTGGATTTAGTTATTTGTCCATAATACACAATGTATGATCCATCAATCCCTTTCCAAGGATTTGAACAAGTGTTGCATGTCCAATATTGTGCATATCTTTCTTGATAATTTCCCCATTCATTCCAAGGGAGGAAAGTGCTCCACATATACATATCTATTCATTTGCACAAGTGGATCAACTTAGTATCTGTCTGTATCTACAATCAACCCTCTGCATTGTCAGTTTTGACATTTGTGAATTTGATTATTTATGGATTTGATTTGATTACTGTGTTATCTGCACCTTCCAAAACAAATCCAGACCCTTTCTCTCAGCACAGAGAACAGCATTCGAGCTCATGCGGATGCTATCTGTCTTCTTACTCTTGATTGAAAAGTTGGCTTACATCTCCCTTGGAGGGTAAACACCAGTGGAAAACTGCCATTTCCATCCCCCCCCCCAAAAAAAAAAAAGATTGCTGGTTGATTAAGTATGCATTTAGTTCAATTTGTAGCTTGTGGAGCTTTAACTGATAAGCAAAATTTTAAGAAGTTAAACAATATAGAAACGAAATGGGTGTGTTGTCAAATAAATACATCAAACGTACCTTGCATCTGCTTAATGCTAGACAACCAAACCGAATGAGAAATCGCATCACTTTTTAAAAATTCCATTTGCTATTTTACTCTTCTGCATCCAGTGGCTTAAACTTGATTGTTAGTAGCAACTAGAATAGGATTATTAAAGCAACTGGATTTAACTTTGCATGATCTGCAAATAGTTTTCCTTTGAATTTCACACTTGGGTAAGGCTTATCTTGCAGTTCTCATCTAAAAACAAAACCTGGATATCCCTTTTAAAGAATAAAATATGTTTGGAAATTAGATTAAATGTTTATAAATGCCAATTTTGTGAGAAAATGAAAATGGCTATTTAAGAATGATTTTTTTTTACAAAATTATAAAATGGAAGAAATTTATGAATGAATATATTGAAAATGATAAATACCCAAAATCATTAAATTCAGCAAGAAATTCCTACAATTTTGCACAAAGAAAAAAAATTAAAATTTGGAGTTCCCTAGTAGTGCAAAACACCTAGCCCTGGAACATAGCATGTTATAAACCCATTGTGTGCATTCTTAAATGTTGACTCTAAGGCATAGGTAAACATTAACTTAATTAGTACTACTCTAAACTAGCGTAGCAGTAGATTTTGGGATCTAGATATTTGAGAAAAGGCAAAAAAAAATCAATAAGCAAGAGCTGGAATTGCAGCTAAGGATATGTAGAGCTAATATGTTCCATAAAGCAATGTAGTCTTATTGTAACTCCATAAATGCCAACCCCACCTTTAAAAGCTAGCAGATGGATTGGGTGAAGGAGATCTATTCAGCTTCTGATTGGAACATAAGGAGAAGGATGGGCCCAGCGCTCTACTACCAGAAAGATCCTTGTTGTAAGAAGGACTCTTGCTGTAAGGGTTTCAGTGAAAAGTCATCTTTTTTGCTCCCTTATCTAAAAGTTGAACAGACCTCTTTTTTGTCTGATTCAGTTGCTGGCTTTTATGGTGGACCAAGAGGGAGAGTTTGGGCAAGAAGAAGTTACTTATATACGTGTGTAGAAGTCGACAATTATGTAGAAGTTGAGGGTAGGCTTTGGGGCCAAAACGATGGATTTTTTAAAAGTGATTTTATTGAATTTTTAGGGGAAAAGAAAGGAGAAAATAAAAATAAAAAAGAGGAGGAAAAAGGGGGTAATAGGGAGTAGGAAAGTTTAATGGGTAGGAAAGAGGAAGAAGCTAACTATGGTTAAGGGGATATGGAAGTTTCCCTACTAATGGAGATTGGAGTGAAAGGGCTGGGGGGGGAGGGGGAGGAAAGGTAATAAAAATGGGGTAAAAAAAGAGAAAAAGAAAAAAAGAAAGAAAAATTCTTGAAAAGAAAAAAGAAAAAAAGGGGGAAATAAATGATGGATTTTGATATAGCTCATGGATAAGTTGAAAGTAATTCCATGGAGAGGAGAAAGTGTGAGCACCAATCAGCCCTGGATGGTGCCATTTCCTCACCTGAGCATTCAAAAATGGCAGAAGCAGCACAGTGGAGAGAATAGAGGGGCAAGGTCTTCTTTGAGGTTCTACTGGAAAGCGCTAAGCTCTTACCATTCCTGTTTCTACCACTGCATGGCAGAATGGGGATGGACTGGGTGGCCCTTGTGGTCTCCTCCAACTCTGTGATTCTATACTCAAAGAAAGTGATGACTCTTTTTGGCAACATAGATGGACACTTTTTTTTAGCAATCCCTTGGTGTCTGGGTATGATGGCCTTCCAAGTGTAGTGTCTTGGTGGTGGATACGTAGGTGACTGTAGAGCACTATTCTTGACTCGCATGTTCTTCCACAGTGAGGGCATCGGTTTCCAGGTGGAAGGCGGTGCCGGCCAGGGTTGACTTGACATGCCTTCCTCTTGGCATGTTTCTCCATTTTGCCCTCCATTCGTACCTCTTTGGCACTGCTGGTCACAACTGACCTCCAGTTAGAGCACTAGGGGGCCAGGACTTCCCAGATCTCAGTGTCTATGCTACAGTTTTTAATGTTAGCTTTAAGCCAATCTTTAAACTGCTTTTCCTGTCCACAAACATTCTGTTTTCTGTTCTTGAGTTGGAAGTATGGTAACTGCTTTGGAAGATGGCAAGTCAACTGGATTTTGGAGTCTGATATGAGTAAACATATACATGAGTATACAGAAGTTTTGTAACTAAGCACCCTATGTGGAATATTGGCTTGCATGTCCCCATTTCTGAGATTTGGAGTTCCCAGTGGAAAAGTCGCTGAGGTTGAGGTCTAGGCAATTTAAAACAAATAAAATAGCTAAACATGTATGTGAACTGAATCAATGCATGCCACCATTTCTGGGCAGATGATTAATCAGCTTAAACATTCTTTGATCGGTTGACAGCCCTAATTGGCACCTGTTTGCAGAGGTTTCGATGGTGTGTCCTGAACTTTGCTTGCCACCGAGAGACGGG